AGTAGAACTAAAACTGAATACATGGAATGTAATTTTAGTAGTAGTAGCTCTAATGACAGGAGTGTAATTTTGGGTGATCAAATTATTAAAAGGTGTGAACGATTTAGATATATCGGGCATGTTGTTCAAAGCGATGGAAATATAAATGGGGATGTTAATAGTAGAATTCAAGATAGTTGGTTGAAGTGGAGGAATGCTTCAGGTCTTTTGTGTGATAGAAAAGTACCGCTAAGACTGAAAGGAAAATGAAAGGAAAATAGGAAAATTTCATAAGACGGTGGTGAGACCTGCAATGCTCTATAGCGTTAATGTTGGCCTTTAAAAGAGAAGCATAATACTAAGTTAAGTGTTATCGAGATGAGAATGACTAGTTGGATGAGCGGCTTTACACTTAGAGACAAAATCTAAAATGATTATATCTGTGTTAGGGTTTATGTAGCTCCCGTGACGCACAAAATTAGAGAAAGTCGCCTTAGATGGTTCGGTCACATTAAGCGTCGATCATCTGATGATTCGATTAGGAGAGTAGATGTTTTATATTCGACTTATGTGAAGAAAGGCAGTGATAGACCTATGAAAACTTGGGCTTATTGTATAAAAATGATCTTAATTTATTAGAACTAAATGAAAATATGACATTAAATAGGACGCAACGGAGAAAAAGAATTCATGTAGCCAACCCCACGTAGTGGGATTAAGGCTTTGTTGTTGTTGTATTCAAAGGAAACAAAGAAATTCAAAGTAAGAGCGGTGCTTAACCTACTACAAACCTAGAAAAATAATCATAGAATGAAAATATACAAGTTGTTGATGCTATGTTACAAAACTAGAAGAATATAAATAAATAAGTAAAATAGCAAATTGATTGATGTATAGCCCAAAAGGTCATAGAAGGAAGTTTAACAATCTCAGAAAAAAGAAAGACAAGAATGGAAGGTAGTTATAGTTTTGTGAACGAAAAAACTCTAAGATGGTAATGTAAATCTATTAAATTTGCTTCCCTATGGAATCATAAATCAAGAATTTAGCCAAAAATGTGAAAGCAATGGGACTTAAGATAATAGAAGGATTTATCTGACTCCGGAAATTATTTAGCAAAATTTAGCCAAAATTATTTGATAAATCTTGCAATCAACAACCCTGGAAGAGTGATAACATTGTATCATTTCATAGAATACCATATACATCGCCATGGGGGTGTTTGACTGCACCCATGATTCACGTTAAATAGAATTTAGTAAATCAAAAATCTAGAATAGTGTTTGGTTCAGTTAAGTTTAAATCCACTTAAATTTGTTTTATGTCTTAGGCATCTTATTTCAAGATTTAATTTTTTTTTCGAAGCTAAATCCATTAAATTTACCTAAATATCGGATTTAGTACATCCGGATTTATGTCAAAAAAGAGACGGAACGGGTAAATATTTGGATTTAGCAAATTGCTGGATTTACTTCCCATTTCTTCACGTTTGGGTGGGTTTACATTAAATTCACCCATACATCCTAGTAAACATACGCTAACAAACAATGCCCATAAAAGTAATGATAAATTTAAAAATAAATGAACAAATTTGAAATCATAAACTGATTATTTTTTCAAATTACATATCAAAGAAGTGTAATCAAGTCGCAACCGAATCTGTGTAATGTAATATAAATAACTTCAAAATAGGATCAACTAAATATTAATACTAGAATCCCACATATCTATACAGCATCTCATGGAATGAAATAAACTAGAAATCAGATAGGTTTCATTTAAACCTAACTGCACAATCAGTCGTAGCATAGCAGGCTATTGTTTCAAAATGAAAAGTCGCTTTCTTGAAGACGGAAGCATAGGATCAACCCGGCAACCGTCACAGCTTAATTCCGACTCTATCATTTTTGTCCCTCTCAAAAAAAAGTTAATAAATAAAACGGGGATGCAAGAGAAAAAACACTAAACACCACAAAATCAAAACTAATAAACGAGGCAAAAACACCTTGTGCAAGAAGATTGACAGGAGAAAATTAATACAAAAGGGGGTTATTACCACAATCGCAAGCACGCATCGAAAGAAAAGACGGGACAAGAGCTCACCCGCAAGAAGAGAACGTGAGGGAAGTCGGTGCAAAGGTGGGAGAAAACTTGATCCATCTGCTTTGACGGCTCGCACCATGACGCCCAGAAGTGGATGGCTGCCGGCGCGCCTCCGGAAAGAGCGGAGTCCAGCTCGGACTTCGACTTCACGTCCTTCACGACGCCCATATCCGCTACCTTCTTCCTTTTCCCCTTATTTGGATGGAGGATTCGCCAGTGAGAGCATATAAGTGAGCAGTTGCGGAAGGAAACCGATTCGAAAAAGATGCGGTGTGCGAGCACGTGAAAGCGGTGACGGAATTCGTGAAATTCGTGATTTTTTTTTTCTTGGGAGCCCTTGTCAGCTATTTAGAAATTCTCCCAAAAAAAATTTTCTAATTTAAGAGAACCCATCACCATTTCGAAGTCATTAAATTGAGCCCACTTATCAAAGTGACTGAACTAAGCGTATTCGTCAGTCTGATCACTCTCATGTTCCCTCTAAAGAGTAACCTAACCCGCGTTAGAAAAGCTATCAGAGGAAGTTATCATGATCATCGAAGACATCCATCAATTTCTTGTTTAAAGGTGCCACGACATTTGGGATTCTATCATTTCACCAACGTACCGGGGTAACTGTTGTGACGGCAATATCTGATATTTGTAAGAAATATCTGACATTAACTGACAATACACTGACAACCACATCACACTATTTTCCTTTTTCTCTCTTTCTGGATCCTCCTTTGATCTTTCTTTGGAGATCACTTTCTACTTCCATTTCTTGAGACCTCTCTCTCTCTTAGATCCTATAACTTAGGGAACCTCCGAGGAGTCGCTTCTCTCTAGTTTGTGAGAGATTCGTAATTAATATATCTTTTAAGGTTTCCTCGAAAGATTATCATTCATCTCTCTCTCTCTCGCTCTCTCTCTCTATACCACTCTCTCCCTACCATAAAAAGTTTTTTTTTCTTGTTGTATATACTCACGAATGATATGAGACCTTACATTTTAAAAGGATTCAAGAACTTAAAAGGTGTGGTGAGCGTAGAATTCCTACTCAAACTTTGCAACAACACAACCCTTTTTATCAAGCAAACGCTCTTAGAGAATGATGGATTATACCAAGAAGTTCGTGATTAAAAATCAATGAGTTGGGAGACTTAAAGAGGAAAAAAATGCTTGTGTATATGATCGGTAACGAGCCACCAAGGTTTTAGAGAACTGGAGCTGTGTCGCAGATAGTAGGCAATCTGCAAAAATAGTTACCAACACCAAGACAAGAACAATCAAGGCAAGAGTTTTATGCCCAGGACTTGCAAAGAGCTAGAACAGGAAGAGCTCTTGATCTAGTTTTTAAACAAGAAAGACTACGCATGAATGACTTTGACAATTCAAAAGATGAAGGACATATTGTCAACTCAGTTGGAGAAGATAGGAGAATGAGATGATAGATTTTTCTCGAGTACTGAGATGATAGATTTTTCTCGAGTACTACAAAAAAGAAGTCAAGAGAGGGAGAAGAAGACAAATATTAGCAAACAACTTATTCTTAAGGGAGAACTCAGAAGTTGAGGCCTCGAGAAAGTTTATGATTCCAGCTTTAGAGTCATACAAAAGAAAATCTGACCCCACCAATCACCTGGCTTCCTTTGAATAAGTTGTCCATCCATTTATAATAAACGATGCATTAAACTTTCTTTTGGTTCTTCATGACATTGAAATAATTAGTTGTGTGTTGGTTCACCACTTACTAATATGAGTCATTACATCCTTTTGCTTATTTAAGTAAATGTTTGAGGCTTAATTCACCAACACACAAAAACCTCCGAAAAATCTGCAGGCACTCTTGAAAATACATCAAAAACCCACTAAAAGTTTGAGAAGTTGCATCACTCTTTTTCAATGAGAAATGTTAGATGTTTAAGACCTAGAGCCTGTCTTCTCTCACATGGCTCTAGCCTAAAGTCTATGCGAAGGGCCATTTTGATATTTGCTTGTCTTACATAAGTTGAAGACGTTCGCAGAGCTTCTGGAGCTCACAAACAACCACATCTCTGCAAGAAGAGTATAATTCTCTCCTGGACCCTTGTGACTACCAGAATTTCGAAAAAGATATAAAAGAAAACCTCATTAGGATTGTCGAGATCAGAGGAGTCGTTTCAAGAAGAGGGAGCATTGGAGCTCCTGCCACTCCAAAAATTACTGCGAAGTAAGTGGGTCATACAGTGCAAGTGCACCTGTCAAGTAGCATGCAGTCTAAGAGTTTGGGTATCAATCCTACGAGAAAAGGTCTAACAATTTATTTCAACAGAAGAATCTCTAGTTTACAAATTTAGTGAGCCTAGATTGGTGTGACTGCAAAGAACGTTAAGTCCTAAAATCCTAATGGACACAAAATAGTTAGCAGACAGTTGTTGACATCCACTTTTTATGGAACATACGCAGAACATCCTCGTCAATTGACACGACACTATAATTGGGTTCTACACCATCATATTCATGCTTTGAGTCGATCATGGTCAAACCTGCATCACCTCTAGTATCCTCTACGTTGACATTTGTTCCTGTAGCATGGGGTTTTATCTGGATGATATAGATATTCTCATGACATAGACCTTTGACTAGCTCGCTCTGTATGTGTTTGTGTCTTAAGCTTAAGGTCCGGACAGACAAATTTCAAGATTGGAATAGTCGTGCTCAGTGATGCGTGTAAGGTTCACCTTCTCAAGCACATTTGAGACACATTCACAATCCTTACAGTGGTCTCAATATCATAACTACTCATATTCAACCCTTCGGAAGTCCAACAAGGTCGGGAACCTCCTCGACGATCATTTTCAAATACCCCTATTTTTTGTGGTCCGGCGTGACCACCCCTAAACTAGGCATGACCATGACAAGGCCTCTAAAAATAGCCCAAATTGCCTGTTATCGGCATGACTGACTCGACCCGCAAATACGCAGTAATGTAGCTTCCAAAAGATGACAAAAAGCTTGACCCAATTTTAATTTAGTGGCTAGTGTGTGAAATTGAAATGTTATAAATTTTAGAAAATTGTTTACACACTGGGGGTACAACGCAAGTATACACGTCATTTCAAGTAATATAGGGTCTTCTTTAAAAAGCCTAGTATCATTCCCACAGAGAAGCAAGCTAAGAAATCCCTTAGGTTAATTCTAGTATACTACTATCAGGTTATAGTTTGGCATTTTTGAAAAGTTTGGTTTTCATAAATTCACTAATTTAAGCTAAAATTGTAATTAACTAAATTAAATAAAAATCAAATCTAAGGAGACTGGTTAAATTTTGTAGAGATATTAAATAATTAAAATCTTTTTCCCCTTACGATGAGATCATAATTAGTGTAGGAATAGAATGTCTAAAGTTTAAAATGTGGTATTGTGTCAAATAGGAGCATACCCATTATTTAACCTCTTTAGGTGCTAGCAAAGAGCATTGGCTAATCTGTAGTGCTTAGTAGATTCTAGCCTCCCACTTATAGATTACCCATTGTGTCCTCTCTATAGGACTTACTAGGGACCCTTGGATCCAAATTCAAGACCGAATTGATAAAAGAATCTATCTTGTCAACCTAGAAACATCAATTCTACTCTCATCAAAACTTATCTCCCTATCTATTTGCACTTCCCCTCGGATGATTGTGATGGCTCTATCCAAAGTTAAGTGTGGTACTCACTAGTTAGTGAAATCATAACCCTCCCGAGTCATTATGCTTCACAATAGATTTTAACCTCACAAGTGATCAGTTTGCAAAGTCAATGAAGAGTCAGTGAAAATACCATCACAATTTTGGAATAAAAGTAATCTTCAAACCATTCTAATCCCACACATGATTAAATCTCATTACAAGGAGAAAGAGTGAGGAAAACTACTCACTAAGTATAAAGAAAACACAATAGAAAATTTCGTTTAAATCAAAACAAATTCACTAGAAAAGTCTATACAACAATTAAGGATAATGAAGAACACAATACTTAGATTTTTTCTGTGAAAGAAAGATGAAAATCCCTCAAACAAAGTCTTCTGCTGATCCACACAAGGTTTCTACAATTCCTTTCCAATATCTCTCAAAATCCTGCACTAATCTCTCCAGAAAAGGTAGAAATCTACATTCCTAGTCATATCTATGACCTTTGGACATTCTTGGAAGTTCAAAGAATTTGGAAAGCCAAAAATTTGCCTTCCTAAGTGATAAATGGTGATTAAAAACTCCCAAAATCGAGCAATAATTGTTTGAAACAGTTATTGGCATCATGACACCAAACTCAGTGTTATATCACCTGTTTCTCGATGTGACTGGCGCTATAACGCCAGGTTGGGTGCTATGGTGCCAGTTCAAAAGTTGGGGCGGCTCCAATTTGCTCCATTTTAGCTCCAATCTTGCTCCAACAAAACGCGCCATATCTAAATTTTCTTCCTTGCTCGATTTTGCTTCAAATTGCACCATTTTTGTTTCATTTTCTCCAAAAATCCACTTCTTGTACTAGAAACCAAAATATGCAAAATACCTTTCATTAAAGTGCAATATCATTAAAAATAGGTATGAAATGTATATGAAAAATTAGGTAATTTCTAGGTGTATCAATGATCATGCTAACCAAATAGAGAGGCCAACATAATTATATTGGGTCTCGAACGTAGCCACGCCCAAATCTAAAAAGGCACCCAGACCCTTTAGCCAATGTGACCATGCTAGAAGGAGGCATAGCCATGCCTCAAAATTGGATGCTCGGTGTAATTACATTGGGCCTCGGGCATGGCTATGCCAAGCTTCAGGCATTGCCACGCGAGGCCTCGGGCAAGACCACGCAGGGCCTCAGGCATGGCCACACCAGTCCTCAATTTGTGGCACCGTGAATAATAGTGTGACCACGCCTGAGCCTGGTATGGCTACATTGTCGAAACCTATTTTGAGATTTTGAGTTCCGGTCCCCAGATTCCCGTCGGTGAGGTGGTCATGACTGGTAATTCACTCTCCTTTCTGTGATATGCTGATATAATTAACTATTTAGATAGTAATATTTTACCCTGCAAATTAACAAGCTGTTAAAAGAAAAAGTGCATTCTTGATGCAAGATTTTACTTTTGGGATGACCCTTATTTATATAAAGAATGTAAGTACATAGTCATCCGAAGATGTGTACCAATTAAAGAAACCTAGGAAATTATTCAATAATGTCATAAATCTGATTTTGGGGGACATTTTGGAGTGGATAAAACTGTATTTAAAATTTTACAATCTGGATTCTATTGACCTACATTATTTAGGGATGTTAAAACTTATGCAAAGACTTTTGAT